ATAGATATTAAGTCTAGATTAAGGAAGTATCTAGGCCGGGTTCTCACTCTGGATGATCTTCAAAGAATTCACAGTATGACGAACCAGAAGTCAGAGAGCCCGGGATTTGATAAGCGCCACGATAAGAAATTGCTTAGCTCATCATCCATCTGTCAATTCATCCGCTATTATGCATTTACTTTGGTATATTTTTCAGCGTCTGTTGATCTTCATATTGGGATCATTCCTTAGTATTTGATAAGTATTCAAGTCGACCAGGATATTTTCCATTTTCTCTGTGTAATGTTTCTGGTCCTTTACATTCATCGCTTCTACCTTATCCGCCTGAAGAACTTGTGTCTCAAAGAAGAAGCTGGACTGTCTCTAAAATGTAAAAGACTTACCCTCTACAACTCCGAAGATAGAGGCCCAGAAACGAAGAAAGAAAAGGAATAAATAGTATTACCAATTGTCCTATTTTGAAACGGCTGGATACAGTACAGGGGGCGCTGACAATAGAAAGACAATCATTTGAAGATAGCGTCGCCATCATTGGCAGCACAGAATCCAGCAAGCTATTTTGGTTATCTCGCTCATTCCCTATTTTTGCCAAATGTCCTTTTATCTTTTGTCACCCTCGATCACATTTTTCTTCGTTTCGAGCCCACCCTAACAGGGTAGGAGTATTAAAGTGACCTATCCCCACACTTTTTCAATCCGATGTTTAGTTGTTATTACAGCCCGTACGTAGCCATGGCTCAGCATCCTTTAGAGCAGAGATCATGTAAGTGAATAATCTTGACTCTCTATTTCACATCGTCCAATCGGAAATTGATATGGACAACTACGCAAGGCTATATCGGGTAGCAAATATCCTGGTTAAATTGGTCACATTCTGTTCCTTCCCTTCTCCCCTCCGCTGTGGCCCGCGGGGTTTAGAATATTCTATTTCGCGCTATCTTTGAACGCTTGTCTTTCTATTGTCAGCCACCCCATGGTGCATTCAGTAGTTTCAAAATAAGACAATTGGCAATACTATTTGTTCCTTTTCTCCCTTCGTTTCGGGACTTCCATCTTCGGAGTTTTAGAGCAAGTGTTTTACATTTAAGACAGTCCACGTCCTTTTTCGAGACACAATACGTTATTTAGGTGGATAATGGAGGAGCGACGGTTGTAATGGGTGGAAAATATTACACGTAGAAAATGGAAAATATACTAGGCGACCTGAATATTTATCAAATGCTAAGGAAGGATCCAACCATGAAGATCAACAGGACACTGAAAAATATGCTGAAGGAAATGCATAATAACGGAGAAATTGACAGATGGATGATGAAATCTTTAATAAAAAATGATGCAAGACCACCGACAGCATACGGACCACCGAAGATATACGACGGAAATTCGCTAAAATTAAGAGTCAACAACAAGCATGAAGCAACACACAAACTAGCGAAATTCTGTGCTTGAAGATCAAGAAAGCAAATGACAGTCTCGAAAACCGTTGAGAATTCATATGAATTTTCTCAAAGGATCCAAAATATTGGGCTGGTGAGGACGGAACTGTACAATCCATTTACACAAATATCTCAGGTGAGAAGGTAGTATGCGCCTTACTGGAGATATTGGAACGAGAAGAGGATATCCTGGAGGCAGAATGGATACGGAAGGGGTCGTTAACAGGACTGATAAATCTGGCATGAACAAATTGGAAAGGGAATTTGAGAAGTAACCATTGCAACCAAGAGTGCTTATGCGATACTTGGATGACTACTTTTCACTTTGATCATGTAGTAAGGAAAATTTAAATGAATTCCTCAATGCCATTAACCAAATTGATCAAATAAATAAATTCACATTGGTGGAGGAGGATGAATGACTGCTAGCGAAATTCAGTACTAGCGTGAGGCCTACTCATATCGTTGGAAGAAAATGAGGAATGTCTCATCGGCAGCAACGAACGGCAGGCTTTTAATGATATATGCCACAAAAACAAACCTTTATTCAAAAATTTACCAACAGGAAATAGTTGATTTACCATAATAGTACCATTAATAAACAACTGGCCAGGTCTGATAATCAAGAATAAAGTCATATAGCAGCAAGCCAAGACATTAACGATTTCTTTCGATGGTGGCTAAAAAAAAATTTTCTAAGGTATAAAGACCAGAACGGTGTGGCCTTTTGTATGGTCGCGGTCTCCTTTCGTTGTATGGGAGTTGTTTGACTTTGGTTTCGAAACTTGGTCATATTGGCAGGAAGACCTAGAGGAACGCACATTTTTCGGAGTCCATAATATGCATGATCGTTTCCAGAGTCGGACCGTGGACTTGGCACATTCCCAGACGTTTCTCCGGCATCGTAGTCGGCATCATCAGTAAATCTTGCCAGTCTCATCACCCAAGCTACAACTCGTCATAAACAAATGAAGTCGATCCCTTAACCAACTTTCTTTCAATGCAGTTATGCTATCACCCCTCATTTTGTACTGGTCCCTCTATCCATTTCCTGCCCTCTAGTCTCGCTATCCAGATAAATCCAAAATTAGACTCTGGAAGAATAAATATATAGGTATAAATATATAATATTACAGATAATAATACCTTAGCTTCCATCTTGGAAACCCGCACAGCACGATCATCCCTTAGCTCATCAAAGAAGTCTTCTTTGCATATTTTGTCCAACTCAGCCATAACGTCAAATTCAGGGTCATCCGGGTCATCATCATCATAATCATTCGAGGTCAAATAAGTAAAGCGACTGACAGGAGAAGGTTGATCCATGTGCTCCGATGTAGTGAAAGTAGAAGAATCAGGTATAGGTGTTTTTTCACAGGTATTTAGAGCACTGGAAGGCAAATACGACGAGGAAGTCACCTGTCCTGAGTTGCACTTAAATTTTTGAGAATACGGGAAGAAATAACTACATTTAGCCTTTATTCGAAGGATTATAATAACAGTCAGCTAGGGATAGTAATTTACCAATAATTATATGTATATATGGCCGTATAAAAAAAATACAGTCTTATCAATCAACATAAAAATAAAGAAAAAACTTGGTATGATGACATGCTCAGAATAGTTTAAATACATT